AGCATACGAGCAAAGGACTCTACCTACCCCATACTGACGAATGAAAGAAGCTCATCGCGGATGATAGGACAAGCGATAGCGGTTCCATTCTTGCTCTTCCTATTCCATACCATAAACAGACACCTTTGCTTCATCGACATTGGCGCTAGAGGCTCTACCCCCGCCCACCAGCCCCTTATGGAGTTAGCGGACCAAGAGAAAAAATTCCCCGATATAATAAAGAAAGTAAGAAGGGTTCCAAACCATTGAAACAGAAAGCACTAAAGACTGTTATGACGTGGCAGAAATGATCACCGTCAAGCACAAGATTCAAAGCTGGAATCTTCCTACTCTTGTTAGTTGGGCCAGAGCATCCTATCTTGTTGATTCTCCTTTCCCACCGCCTCGAGCTCTCGCTTTCAGGGTGGATACGCAAGAAATTCACTATGAAGACATGACACAATCCCTGAAGAGTATGATGTGCCCGGCCTTCCTTCTCTTGATCCCCACCCACCTCCCGTAGAGGCGGGTCAATATCAATATCTATACCAGAGATTGCTTTTAGCTTTATCTTTTCAGAGACAGGAGAATTCCCTCTGTACTTACAAGAATGCTACTTAGGGAGAAGAATCTCTTGACTCAGGAGCACCTGAATCTATTCTTTCTGTGTCCCACATCCGCCTATGTTAAAGCATCCGCCCATTCCTCAGTGAAAGGAAATGCTACTCAGGGATCAAAAAAGAAAGCGGGTGCCTCGTCAGAAAGACTTGGTTTGTAGAGTAGAGGCCTTTCCCCAAGATATTGCTTTCTTGCTCCTCTCCTTAGAGTCAAGTGGCTTTCCGCTGCTCTCCGAGACAGTTCATTCAGCTGGATTGTGGGTATAGCAGGACAATTGCTTTCTCTAGAAGGAAGGCCTTGGTTTGGCTTGTTTAATTGATTCGTACGTAATCCGAGAGCTTCATACGTGGGATTTTTTTGGCAAAGGAAAGTCAAGAGAAAGGGTGGTAGCTATTCTAGCAAGTCTTCTGTGGAGGAGTAGCACTAGGCTAGTCACTTATTAGACTAGTCTCGATTCCTCAAGGTTGTACGAGCTGTAATAGTCGTTGAAAAACCTCCCGTCCCGAGTGGGCTTAAGCCATGCCTTTACTAAAGAATTCTCGCCATCTCAGAGAAAATCTGGTGTGGAGCCCAGGCTAGCCAACAATGAGAAACGCCTTCCTCTTTTTTCTTGATTTAGGTGACGTAGTCTTATCCGATGAATGGCAGTGAGAAGGCGGAAAAGGTCGTAAAGGGCTAAGCTAAGGGAGGTTGGCATTCCGAAGTCAAGTCTTTCTCACACCGCATGGGGTCCTTTCCTACGCATATGCAAGAAGCTCTTATTTCCCTAATCTAGAGGGTTCTCACGCCAAGCTTCCTTTCTTTCGGGCAAGTCCAATTACAAAGAAAAGAGAAGGTCGGTCCCGTCCCACGGGTTAGGTGCTTAGCTTAAGGTGGAAGTCCAAAGCTTAATAAGGCGGAAGGCGAAGCCGAGGCAAGAGCAAGGGTTGACAGAGAAGAATTCAATCTCTGTTCCATTCTCAATGGTTGGTCGGTTGGCCAGGATTGGTCAAGTGCGCTGGACGACACGGCATTCTCCTTTCAATAGTACCATCGACTGGAGAAAGTAATAGTTTGGCTTGGACGCGTCTTAACATACTCTCCTCTAGCACCATTCACAGTTGACTCTCAACTTCATCTCTGATCTGAGGATGGGAAGAAAGAAAGCATTGATTACAAGTGAGATGTCCAAGAGAAAGGGAAGGAGGGGAGATGTCTACTCACTTAAGACCGTTCGTGATTCCCACCCGTGAATCACTTCACGAAGGAGCCTGTAGATTCTTTCAAGCTATAGGACCAGTCGAGAGCGATAGAGAATAAAAGGCTAGAAGTCGACTCAGATTTATTTCAAGGTCGTATATGTATGTTTAGTATAACCGCCACTTCAAATCAATTGAATCAATGCAAGCAATGCTGTTCCCACATGCCTATTCATTCATAACCAAAGCTCTTCAAATAAATCTCCTCGGTACTTGAACTTGATTCTTTAAAGCCGGGAACTCCATTCAATTAGCCGGGCATAAGCTTTGCTCATTTTCTCTTGATACGCTTACCTTGACCCTTTAGGTTTTTCAAGAAGTAGACACGGGCAGGGAAATTCCTAGCTAGGTTCTTCGTCTCAGTGCTCTCTCGGCGGCCAGCTCGTCAAAGTACCAAACCCTGGCTTTCTACCCTGAACATTGGGTATCTTCTTCTGGCCCCTTGGGGGCAAGTGAGAGCACTAGATCGAATACACAGGATTGTCCATGTTTTTTACCTTAGCTCTACTTCTCTATTTTTCCTTTTTACGATTGTTTGCTTCCAAAGGCTTACGCGGGACAGCAGTTCCATTCATCATCATAAAAGAGGAACGAAGATTCCCGATTGGGAGGCCTTGCCGCATGCTTCGTTTCCATTATCGCAATTCTATTCATAATTTCTTCCTTCACCATCAGAAAGATGGACAGATACGAGAGAAGAGGAAATAGAGGCCAAATCTATTACTAATTTAGTTGCTGCTGCAACGCTGAAATATCTACTGATATAAAAATATAGAGCTATAATGTTGTTTATACCAAAGGTATTTTTTTTATACAAACTAAAAGAAATCTCAGAACCCTGTAAACACCGTAAAGCCAAATATTATAGACATCTATCATACTCGCTGTAAGGTATGAACGGGCAGCAGGGAATCGAGTGAATGACCTTAACGATCGTTTTAGAAGTAGCGCTTTACTAGCCTGACGACTCAAAGCAAGGTCGAAATCCATCCCTCTTTTTAAAACTGATTAATTAACGACCCACCAAGCAAGGGCACGTTGCGCGGTAGTAGCCAGTTCAAGGAAGTGAAACTAAGACAGGAAACTCCCCCTTTTTTTGACTTTTTAGTAAGTAAGACCCTGTCCTCTTCCCTTTCGACATCAAGATAATTGACGAAGGTGGTGCTTTGAACATTTTCGCTGAAGTCGAAAAGATAAACATCTACCCGGTATACCAGCAATCCTTCTATGCGGATACCCCTTTTTTACTCTCAACCATTGCCGAGAAGAGAAAATGCTCAAGGTTCTATATATTCTTTCTTTATTCAATTCATTCCTATCCTTTTTGTTTTCAGTCCCGGGTTTCCTTTCCTCTCCAAGCCAATCAATCGCCTTCTTAGTTAACTGCGGAACCCGCCCTTTAGCCATCTATCTTTAGATACGGAGGGCTTATGAGTCACAGAATTTGAAGCCCAAAAAACAAGGTAAGAAAGGTGGGGAACAGCGGCCTCACACAAAAAGATTTGTCTAAGCAATCTCAAAGAGATTTTCAATAAGTCAATACCAAGATTTTCTTTCTGCGCCTACTGATGTGATGATAATTCAGAAGCTTTTTTGCAAAGAAGAAGGGCCCTGTTCCTACGGGTTCACGTGCTAAGGCTTCACTAAAAAATGCTCTTTTTCAAGAGAGAGGTTTAAGGCGCATTAATCACGCCTTGAAGGAGGGAAGTAGTGGAGTAGGAGAGGTAAAGATGGATGGGAATAGATAAGTAAGAGAGAGGGCGACACCAGCTAGCAGAACGGACGGAATGAGAAGAAATCCCCAGGATGGAAAGAAGCTTGAAAGAGAGAACCAGGAATGAAATAGCGAGACCAAACGAGCAAAAAGCCACGAAGGTAGACGATAAGAGCCTAAGACTTTATGCGATAGGGTAGAGCCCTTGATCCTTTCAAGAATGTAATTATCCTTAATATTAAGGAGCCAATTTAGAACCTTTATAGTAGATTAAAAGAAAGAACAGACTCATATGAAAGTTCCCCAGAAAAAATGGCTGTTGTTGAATCAGCTGTGAAATACGCTCTTGCTCACGAATCTGCTGTTCTAGCTCAGACCAGGCTATCTCCGAGAAAATAGGGGTCCCGAACGGGAGAAGAATAAGGCAGGCTGTCCTTTGACTAGTTTGTTGTTTTTTCTGGGGAATTTGCTTGTCAACGAAATTCCACTCATAAGTAGGTTCACATCGTGATCTAAGTTCCATTTCCCATCGAGAGGTTATGATACTGGTAAAGAGTCCTATCCTTCTCCTTGGGTTATGAAATAATTCAATAGCTCCGGGCTCCCTCACTGCATTCCAAGGCAAGCTCCTACTAGATCCTACTATTCCTGATATTCCTACTGGATTTGAGCAACTCGAGTATGAACACTGTATCGCTATGCCCCTCGCTTAGCCCCGCTCTTTGGTTTAGGATGGATCCGGACTGGACTAAGCTTGAAGATCTAATTACGGACTGGAAGCGAAAATACCGTAAAAATGGCTTCTTTCTTCGAGGACTCTTTTGTAATAGCTTGATGAGCCGAACCAACAAGAGATATTACGTTCTACCCTCTGCTTCGAGCCCGGCCGAGAGTGAGCTTCCCGATAGTCTCTTCCTTCCTAGAAATAGAACTCTAACTATCAAACCCGTCCCGTCTCCTTACTCGAGATATCTGAGATAGCTCCGTAAACTAATAACTTATAATAGACGAGCCCATTATCCTTATGTTCCGAACTTGCTTCTTGGTACAAGGGGAGGGGCGCAGAATTCTAGTTATAGTTCTTCTTCTGCCTAATCTTTAGTACCGCTTTGAGATTGAATCCTTAGAACCATGTGCCTAAGAGGGCGAGGACCTTTATAGCCATAATTCTTCCCCCGGTTCTACCTCCTTCTGCAATAGTGATCTATCCCGTCAATCCCACCCGCGAGCTATCCATTCTAACCTGTCTTTGCCTAGCAAGATACGTCTAGTTCTCCCTCCGCTTGCCTATCTCAGTAGGAAATTGGAACAGTCTCCGATTTCAAAGAAAAAGCTGAGGCGAGAGCTATACCTTCTGGAACCGGAGCAATAACTGCTATAAAGTAAGGAGATGCGCAGGAACGATCCCTAAAAGCAAAGGCTAGGAATGCTCCACGACTAAGTATACCCATTCAGACTCGCTTTTGTTCAATTATAAAAAAATAAGCACTTTGATGAAGATTTATAGCATCATTCAAGTAAATACAGATTAAGATCGTAGAAACATGAGCTTGTGATATAGCTACACCTAATTCCAGACCGGTTAATGCAAGAACTATAAATAAAGGACCAAGATCCCCTATGAAATAGAAAAGATCATTCATACATAGCATAGTCCAAGCGAACCCACTTAAAATCTTTACTGAACTATGACCGGCCATCATATTAGCAAATAAACGTATTCCTGAGCTTAATGCTCGAAAACAATAAGGGATTAGCTCAAGGAGTACTAAAAAAGGTGCTAATGGCAGCGGGACTCCCGCGGGTAATAAGAAGCTTAAAAAATGAAGCCCATTTTTTTGAAATCCCACTATAGTAATGCCAATAAAAATCGAAAATGAGAGACCCAAAGTAATGAGAAAATGACTTGTAACTGTGAAGCTATAAGGTATCATACCCTGGGGATTACAAAATAACGAAAAAGTAAAAGTGACCGAGATGCGAGGGGAAAACTTTTGTTTAACATTTCCGGAAAGACCACCTATTTGTTCGTTTACCGGGTTCAGCACGAAATCATAAATAAGCTCTACCAAGGATTGCCAAGCATTTGGTACTGAGTTTCCTCCTCCCTTTTTAGTAACAAAATAAACCAAAAGTAGGACCAAACTGAGAGTTAGTAGCATAAAAAAAGATGGATTTGTGAATGAGAAATAGAAGTTTCCAATTTTCATAGGAATCAATGGCACAATCTCAAATTGATCAAGTGGGCTTTCTAAGAGATCCGCATTCGTATTCACTGCATTATTCGTATTCACTGCATTGGAATAGGCTGAACCCCCTACAATCTCGTTAAATTGTTTTAGGGCAAAGTCATAGTGCTCACCCTGTTTGTCTTTTAAATGTTCTAAAATTTCTCCGAGAAAACCCGTGTTGTCATCATCATTATGCAAATTTTCTGTGATTGCGAGTAATTTGTTTTCATCTGAACAATGATTTTTGAAGACTTTTTGAACGGACTCAAAGATTTCACCCCTTAGGTGGTCTGCTATATTTTCAAAAGTCGTAGAAGTAGTAGGGTCCAGACCTTCAAAAATACCATGATTATTCAAAATACTCGAAACACTCCCATCAACCTGAGTACTGGACGACCGAAGACTAAAATCGCCAATAGTCGTAGTAGATTGATTCGTAGGATTTAGAATCCCAGTACTACTAGTTCCGAATGAACTACTAGACGAAGGCGAAGCTATATTACTGGAACTGGAACTTGAGTTCAGACTAGCTTCATCAAAGCGGAAAATGCGTCGCACCATATTTTTTTTTTTTAAGATGATTCCCTCAATACAGCTTAAGTCAAGCCTGTACGAGTAGTGAAGAAGTCTAGAGATTTTAGTTGGTTGTTGACCAACGGAAAGCATGGGAAAAAGATAAAGATTAGTTAGATGTAGCACACACTTCAATCCAAAGAAGCAAGACTTTTTCTTTCTATAAGAAATTACGTAATCAGGGTTAAAGCACATACATATAGAAAGGTGTAAAGGACAGATGTGTCAGTTAATAAAAGAATGACTTACGTGCAGTACTGGTACGAATTACTTTATTGAATTAGAAAGCCCCTCCTCTAATTACGAATGGATTCGATCCATTAGATTGACTCTTTTCTTTCTTCTTTAGATTGCACGAGTTTTCTGTTCTGAGCCTTAGTTTGCGCCTGCCTACCTTTCGCCTTTGTCCACTAGACAAGCTTTCTTAAGGATCCATCCCCATAGTTTATTATCATATAAGATGAGTGGAACACCCGTTTATTGAGCATTTAAGGCCTTTTAAGGACTTGTGAGGTATTTAAAAATCGGAATTTTAGGTTCGATCCGTTAGGTTGACTCTTTTCTGTCTTTGTTAAGTAAATAAAGACAGAAAAAAAAAGAGATTATTTTTTGTTTTTTCTTTGCTGTTATTATAGATAAGGGTATGCCTTTTTATTCTTATGGCCATCAATTGGCCCGCTCCCACAAAAAAATGTTTCCTAGGCAATTTGGCCACATGCAATCCATTCCTTTTTCCTTTTCTATCAAACCCTCACCATGGCACTCTAGATCACTTAAGGGGCTGGACCCACTTATTCGAGCACGCGATGTGTATTACAATGACCTTCAGTCGACTAAGAAGGTGCATCATATTCGCAGCAAGCCAGCCTCTCTTGCCTACCCCTAAGTCCTGTCTGCAGTAGCTGCTTCGCTTCTATTATAGATGACCGAAGAGCGGACTTCTTTCCAACAAAGAGAGGAAGTTTCGATTCGAACAGAGAGATATGTCGGAATTAGCTCTTGGGAAAGATAGAAGGGCAGGGCTTCCATAATTAAACCAATGTGGGAGCTACTTATAATAAGTTCCAAAACCTTGAGATGAAGAAGGGAAAGCGTAAGTGAACTCGATCCAGTGGAGGAGGAAGCTCGGTTCAGTCCTTGCAGATCTTGACTCACTCACTTCCAGAGTAGAATACGAAACTCTAGTTGAAGGGGTATTGGCCATTATGAGTAGTAAAGGCTACTATGAGCAGAAAGGGACTACTTGGCTCGATCGAGCAGCACCTACACCTTCTCGCGTAACGACTTCTTTGAAGCTAGGCTAGGATCGGATCCAATTCTAGGAGCGATGTCAGACCAGTAGACCCAAGTTATGCCTTTGATCTAGTCGGTTTGAACACATTGTTCTCTTGAAAGCTTATTAGGAAGCTAAGTCTTTACCTTTTCTTTTCTCAATAGGAGGTCTTGTGCCGTTGGACCTGCCCTTTATGCAGCAGTAGTTTCGGTTGAACTGGACATTGCTCCCGCTATTGGTAGGCTTACTCGACTAAGAATTCAAGGAAGTGAACTGGCGGGACTCTGCTACTTACGAGGGTTGATGTGGAAGAAGGGGCGAAGAATCCTCTGCTGATGAAAGATATGCTGAGACAAAAGCAAAATAGGAAGAAATACCTGCTAGACCAGAGACTGGGGGTTCTTTTTCGCGTAAAAACCTCCGGTAATATAGTATTTCCAAGCTAGGGGTATTGTTGTTTATGCACAAGGTTTTTCTCCTCAACCAAAGCATGGGTCAAAAAGGAAGAACATGACCATCAGCAAGAAAGGGCGTCCCGACGTCGACTCCGAAAGGAAGCTCGCGAGAGGGAAAGAGAGGAAAAGAACCAATGATTCACCTATATGAAGCTGAAGAAAGCATTAGAGTGAAGATCCCCTGCTTAACCTGAAATGAAACCTCTCAAGCCAGGGAAAGATTGACCATCGGGTTTATTTCCGAGTCAGGACAGAAAGAGTGACTACTCGATAGAAATGCCCCTATGAATAAGGGAAGTTACTAGCCTTCTTTCTTAGGCCAAGGAAGGAAAGCACGGTAGAACTAGCGTAGCTGTGGGACTCTCGCTAGTATTGACCTCCTGGACTAGTACCGATGGTGGCTCCATACGGGTAGACGTAGGCCCTGAAACCATAACAAAGACAAGACAATTACAGGGAGGACGTACGTGTTCTCGGGCGAGTGCGGACTCGGTTAGTATACAAGATCATCAACAGAGTAATAGGATGCATCTGCTGAAGCCAAGACTCATGTAACAACAAGCTGGACCGAAGCTCAGCCATAGTTGGTTTTGGTCGTTGAAGCTTCGCCGTAGTGACCTTTCATAGTCCGAAGGCAGGCCAGCAAGAAGGAATGTAAACATATCAGATTGGGACACCGGTGCATTGATAGATGCCAAGGAGTCACAACTGTTCTTGAATGTACGAAGGTAAGCCGCCATAAACGGATTTCCTTTCTTCTCTCTTTCACTATCATGTTCCTCACTAACCCGAAAGAAACATATTTATTCTTTTCCGGCGGCGAATAGTCTGATATAGGCGAAAAGTCTCAGAAAAGATTAGGGGATTTATTAAAATATCATATATTAAGAAAATGAAGCAGCTATACTTGGAATCAATGACGAAGCTGTTGTTTTCTTAAAGCATGGATGCTTTGTTCCAAATAGTGATAGGGCAAAAACAGGGGGGGACGAGGGAATTAGAAAAAATGCAAACTGTTTCTACTTTTCGTAGGCATTTCCTAATTTTTTTACAGCAAGCAAACAAAAAAAAAGTAAATCCAACAGAAATCAGGGATCGATTGATCCAAACGTTCGACTGTAAATCGATTATTATTGCTCAACGAAATCATCCACGGGGCCTCAACTTTGATTATATTATCGGCGTCAAATGTACCGACGCATCAAAAAATACGGTGAAGCAAACAATAAGAGCTTTGTTCTTCGAATTCGAAGGACAACTCTGTCATCAATCCTCCATATTCTTCTCTTCGGCATAACTGGTAAGCAGCATACTACAGCAATAGACCAGTCCACTAACAGCGGTATACAGTAAGTCAGTATAAGTCAGTACAGGAAGGGCACGCGAAATAGACAACTACTTACTAGGCTAGGGTAGTCGTTTTTTCATCTTCCCTTTATTTTACTTTACCCTAGTGGAAATTCTTTTTTCAAAGTTACTAGGTAATTAGTGAAGAGGTTTATAAAAGTGACAAGCTTGGTGGAAAGCTCTTATCTTAGGAGGAAAAGCTAAGTATGCCCGAGTAGTCTTGATATTGGTTGGTTTGAGGTTTCGTTAGTTTTATACTAACAAGCAAGCTTCGGCGACCGCTCGACCTAGCGCGTTAGCCCCAGTACTATAGGGAAGGCCTATGCGAAGAAAAGGCCTGCCCATCATCAAAGCAAGCCCAAGTCCATGCAAGAAGGCCCTCCAGATCTGTCCAAATTCAAAGCCCGTCAAAGGCATATGAAATCATGCAAAGGATCCGAGCCCATCCAAATGATGTTCAGCGGGCTAAACCCAAGTAGCTCTGGCCCATGATCCAAGAGACCCGAAACTCGTTCATCATGCTATCCTTACCTTCTAACTAACCTCTTCGATTTCGCTTATCCTAACAGTGATTGATTAGGCCTAACTGTTGAAGCTGGTTATGCAAAGGTTGTTCACACAGGCAGTGTGGCTTCACTTTGTAGTTAGTTTGCTCATTAAACAGGCATGTATAGTACTCAACTGCGGAAAACTCATAAAAATGGTGCCTATCATCAAATTCGTGCCGCATGGCGGGATTACTCTACTTCTACTCTATAAATAGAAACTCGATAAGCCTTCGAGCTCTAAAATAAAATAAAAAATTATTATTATGGCAGCTCTTGCAGTTTCAGAAAGGCTTTTTCAAATTTCACAAGAAATCCAGGAAATCGAGAATGAGCTGGGTCAACGCCGATTTGCCTTAAGAGCCTTTTTGAGGCACCTGCGTCCGGCGAGCCCTGCCGTCGTAGGAGACCGCATGCGCGCGGCAAATGAAAACATAATGCGCCTCGAGACGAGACGACAAATGCTGCGAGATGAACAGCGAGCGCTCATTGTGCAGGCTGTCACCCTCGGCGACCGGAGAGACTAAGAAAGAATATAATAGTTACAGTCTCTTCCGTTGTGGAAGTTTATTTACAGAAATAAAGGAGTTCCATATTGTACTCCCTATTTGCTTTTCTAGTGCTACTTTCCTTGAAATAAAGATCGTTGATAGCCATAGCATTTTCTCAATAAAGAAAGTGAGTAGCAGTGTACTGCTGAATTGAACTTTCTTGTATATTGAATTGACAAATTACTAATGCCTTAAGCTCGGGATATATATATAAATTCTTGGAAAGATTATAAAACTCATGCAGTCACCCCTTATCTTACTTACTCCATTTCTTTTGTCAGGAATAATGGCCTTAGATAGCGTTTATCTTATCTTTCAAAAGACCTTAAGCTCGCTATATTAACCTATAAAAGTCTTCCGCTTTCAAATGTTATCTTTCGCATGCCTTACGAAAAGCATTTCAAAAGTGTCATTTTTTCTGTATTTTTGGTTGAAAAAGCAAGAGGAAATGGCACATTATTAGATAAATAGTGCAGGCATGTGTTGCACTTTTTTCGAAATCGAAAGAGCTCTTTTGAGGGGCGCAGCGGAATTCATTCAGAAAGCAAGACAGAATAGGCTCTTACTGCTAACGAAAGAACTTCCCTTAAATCAAGATATTAGCTGTGGGACTTCGGTGCCTTAAGCGGAAGAGGGGATTTCTTTCTGGCTGCTACGCTCCTTTCTTATTCTCTTATTCTTTTTTTCTGTCTCTGAAGTGAGTGAAGTCAAGCTAGCGTCAGCAAATCGGACATAAGCAATACACCCCGTCCTTTAGAAAGACGATAGCGATTCTCTTCCAGTGCTTTAATTAAGAGAAAAAATAGTAACCTATAAG